CCAGTATCATGGGCATGAAGTTGAGATCATATTTTGGTGGTTAATTTTACCGGCTTACTACTTTGTACTTATTTAAAAGGTTTTACATGGGTTAACCCTGTGCCTTAGGTTAGGGCAGTGTTACAAATGTGGACCCAAGGTTCTGACACCACTAGTGAGATGGCAATAGCAGTTACTTCTGGGTCAGAAACTTGTCTCATGACCTACATGAGGTAGTCCTGAAATTGCCAATACTTGGAACGCAGGCAACCTAACTCTTAAAAATATAATAACTCGGCCAGGCGCCGGTGGCTCACGCCTGTAATCCTAGCTACTCAGGAGGCTGATATCTGAGGAACTCGGTTCAAAGCCAGCCCGGGCAGGAGAGACCGTGAGACTCCTATCTCCAATAAACCACCAGAAAACCGGAAGTGGCGCTGTAGCTCAAGTGGTAGAGCGCTCGCCTTGAGCTGAAGAGCTGAGGGACAGCGCCCAGGCCCAGAGTTCAAGCCCCACGGCCGACCAAAAAAAAAAAAAAAAAATATATATATATATATATATATATGTATATATATTAACTGAAATACAATCTCAGCCTCTTCAAAATCATAGGGGATCTGAACTTGTCCATACTAACAGAGATGATCAATGACAAAGCTAGTAAGAATAGTTTTAAGTGAGTATATTTTCAGGAATTTACAGTAAAGAAAAAATGTTACATTAAATGATGTGTGTTCACCCTTGTCTCACCTATAATCCTCGTTATTCAAGAGGCTGAGGTCTGAGGATTGTGGTTCAAAGCCAGCATGGGTAGCAAAGTCCATGGGACTCTTATCTCTAACCCTCCCTCCCCCACCCCCACCCCAAAAAAACTAAGTAGAGATTTGGCTCAGTGATAGAGCATTATATTTGACTAAAAAAGAAGTTCAGGACAGCTGAACTTCAGGACCTTAGTTCAAGTCCCAAGACTGGCACAAAAAAATAAAAGGCTAAAATTAAAACCCACTGTACAACTATTGGAAGATAATATTTAAAAAGAAGTGGTATTAGAGCTTGGTGCCTGTGGCTCATGCCTGTAATCCTATTGAGACGTAGGACAGTTTGAAGTCAGCTCAAGCAGAAGAGTCTGTCAGACTCCATCTGCAGTTAACCAGCAAAAAGCTGGATTGGAGATATAAATTAAATAATAGAGCAACAGCTATAATCAAGAAAGCTGAACAAGTATGTGAGATCCTGAGTTTAAGCTCTTGTACCAGCCTGGAGAAAACAGAAGGGAAGAAGAAAGAAAAGAGGGAAAAGGGAAGGAAAGGGATGGTATTGGGGCAACTAGGTCTCTATATGCAGAAAAAAGTTGGACCCCTACCTCTCATTAGGAACAAAAGTTATCTCAAAATGGATGAACTTACTCTTTCTCAGGTAAAAGATTTTGCCAGTGTCAGATAGAATAAAAATGATTTTTATTCTAAAAGATCAGAAATTATTTAGGAGGAAAACACTACTCACTCTAGAAATATTTATTGACCGGTAATGTTGTTAAGCATTTTGTGCTAGCACTGGAAATTGGATGGTGAATTAAACCAAACCTATCACAGTTTTGATGGAACTGACAGTCTGGAAGGGGAGGCAGACATTAAAAACGTGATTCCACCAGTGGATATACAATTCCAGGTGTGATATGTGATGTGCAAAACAATATATGCTCTGGGACATACATGGTAGAGGAAGATGAGCTGTTCTCAGGGAGGGCATAATTGTGTGCAGTATAGAGGGTGTGGAAATGAACTGGGTGAGCTTCTGTGGTCTTTCCATAGCTCTTAGTGGATATAAAAGTGGGTTTGGGATTATTTTTTGTTTCTGATCCATTGGCTGCAGTGCTGAGCAACTTCTCTTCTGTATGCTCCACATATGACCCAAAATCTCCAAAGTTTTCTGTGAATAGAGAACCACTAAGAAATGGGCAGATAGCCGGGCGCCGGTGGCTCACGCCTGTAAACCTAGCTACTCAGGAAGCTGAGATCTGAGGATCGAGGATCAAAGCCAGCCCAGGCAGGAAAGTCTGTGAAACTCTTTATCTCCAATAAACCACTAGAAAACCGGAAGTAGCACTGTGGCTCAAGTGGTAGAGTACTCCCCTTGAGCTGAAGCGCACAGGGACAGTGCCCAAGCCCAGAGTTCAAGCCCCACAACCAACAAAAAAAAAGAAAGAAAGAAAAGGAAAGAAATGGGCAGAAATCAGGCATCAGTGGCTCTCACCTGTAATCCTAGCTGCTCAGGAGGCTGAGAGCTGAGGATGATGATTCCAATCCATCCCAGCAGAAAAGACCTTGAGACTCTTATCTCCAATTAACTACCCCAAAAAGCAAGAAGTGGCTCTGTGGTTCAAGTAGTAGAGCACCAGCCTTGAGCAAAGAGGCTCAGGGACAGTGCCCAGGCCCTGTCCTGAGTTCAAGCCCTAGGACTGGCATAGGAAAAAAATGGGGGAGAGGGGGAAGAGGCAATCTGTATCAGAAAGTATTTGAGGATATATAGTAGAAGGTAAATTTGTCTCAAGGTAATAAAATTCTAAGGTGATTAAGAGTTTTTAAAGAAACTTTGGCCTGAGGGTGTAGCTCAGTGGTAGAGTACTTACCTAGCTCATATGAGTCCCAGGTTTTGATCAGACCAAAAGAAAATATATCTTAACTTCCTATTAAATAATGGCATTATTAAACTGTTACTTTCAGAAAAAAGTATGATAGATAATGCCTCTGCATAAGTTATATTCTAAAGATCTGCTTATATTTTAATTCAAAATGAAATTTTTTCAATGTAATTTAAATTCTCATTTTGAATGTAAGTAAAATGAATGGCTTATGTAATTTTTGCCAGGAATTAATATGGGTTTTCTATAAACCACCGTCATTTATAATCAAAATGCTTTAACTTACATTGATGTTGGCATTAACAAGTACTGCTCAATTGGAGGCATAGAAAGAAATCACATTTAAACTCACTGGGAGCTCATTGATGCCTGAGGTTTTAAAATGCTTTCTGTGGGCCATTTAACTGCTGGCAACTTGAGTTCACATGATTCATAATACTAGAAATTTAAATTCACTCTTAATTGAAAAGTGAAGTTACTTAAATTCCTTAAATGCTAACCTTTGGAAAAATATCTGAAAAATAAAGGCCCATATGATTTTGATGGCTTACTGCCAAAAGTTTATCATTTACATAAATATCTCTTTTAGCAGAAGAGTTTAATGTGGTGAGCTCAAAAGGTTAGAATAGAGACTCCAATCTGGAAAGCAGCAGTAGACTGTTGGCTTGTGAACGGCAGCATTGTTTGTGGATTGAGAACACTGTTCGCATTCAGGCTTAAGCTGCGCTGGCATTAAGATTCAGCTAATTTGTTTCATGTGACTTGTCAGCTGTGTGTTTTTATCTAAATCTTTCTAGCCTCTCTTTTTGGTGTTCAGTCCTGAAATAGTGAAGTACCTTTTTAACTGTTTCAGGTCTGGCATGGTAGCCGCTTGTGCAAGTGATACTCTATGGTAGTCCTCCAGGATTTCCATCTCTGCTTGGTTGAAATGCCCTTTTACTTTATTAAAAGTGGTCCTGTTTCAAAGAGCTTTTCTGTTCTGTCCCTGTGTAGGTCTGTAAAAGGACTTCCTGAAATTCATTAAGATGAAATTGCTATCTTTATCCTTATTTTCTTGACAGCATTCTATTCTTTTCTTGTTTGTTCATTTTGCTCTGGATTTTCCCTGAGATGACTTTTAATATTTGACTACCAGCCAAGTGCTGAGTCTCAGCAGTGAAGTGTTGCTCCATTGGAACACTGTAACTGTCACTAAAACAGTCAGATTCCCATTTCTCTTTTGAAGGGATGGAGATCTTAAGGCTCCTGTGAAATGGTCCTTCATATTGCATAACTGGGAAGTGAGTGTTGGAAGATCGCGCTAGTGATTTTACTGTATATACTGTAAATGCAGTCATGCTTAAGTTGCACTGTTTCACATCTTCGATATTTCATCACAGTCACTTCTAAAAGTTTATTCCTGATTCTTTGTAATTCTTGTTGCCCTCTGTCAGCATCCTAGCTTTACAGGGAGCCCCATCTGCTTTTATAGGTTGGTCTGTTTTCTGTTTGTATATAAATGAAAACAAACATTATTGATTGGATTCTTTTCTTTGACCTCCCTCCTTTTCCCCCTCTCTTTCTTGTGCTGGTCCTGGGCACTGTTCCTGAGCTTTTTTTGCTCAAGGCTAGCACCCTACTACTTGAGCCATAGCTCCACTTCTTACTTTTTTAGTAATTAGAGAGAAGAGTCTCATACACATTCCTGCCTAGGCTGGCTTTGAACCAAGATCCTCAGAACTAGCCCCCTGAGTAGCTATGATTACAAGTGTGAGCCACCAGTACCCAGCTCTTGACTTTAGTTAATAGAAGAAAACTTACTGTGCTTGCCTAGCAAGCATGAGACCTGAATTCAAACCACAGTACCTTTTAGAGAGGAAGGGGAGAGATGAACTGTTAGGATCTCTGATGGGTTTTAAAAAAAAAAAGTGTATGGTGTTTTCTAATCTACTTTTCTGTGTTTATCATATATATATATATATATATATATATATAAAACCTTTTTTCTAGTTTGTGTTACTTATTTAAAAGGTCTTTATGTTTTCTGCAGAGGGAAGAACTGAATGCTCATGTATTTAAAAATCTTGACTTTCAGAAGGGGCCAGTGTCTTAGCTGGCTGTGTGACTTTGGACAGTGTATGTTGTTTATGAACATACTGTCCTCTCCTGAAACAGGTGGTTTCCAATGTATGATTTCCCTTGCTTTGCTGTTTCCCTAGTCCAGGACCTCATGCAGTGTTACACATGGAATTTTGTGATTATAACAGATTTTTGTTCATTTAAGAAAAAGTATTTTTAAAATCTGACCAAGGTGACTTACATGTTGTTAATACAAGCAATACATTTTAATTTGGCTTTCTAATATTACTAATGGTGCTTGTTATTTATTTCTTGTTTGAAGAATATCGAAGAATATTCCAACAACTAAAGATGTTGAGCCACTGCTTGAAATTGATGGAGATATAAGAAATTTTGAAGTTTTTTTGTCTTCGAGGACTCCGGTTCTTGTGGCTCGAGATGTAAAGACCTTTTTGCCATGCACTGTAAACCTAGATCCCAAACTACGGGAGATTATTGCAGGTGGGTATTCTCAGCACTTCAGTTTTACTTTTCTGAAGCCCTCAAATATTTCCTGTTTCTAACTTAGCTATGTAAGCTCTCAACACTATGAAAAACCAAGAACCTTGAACCATACACTTCTCAGGAGAATTAATGAAATTAAAGACTAGGAGTCTTGACATCCTTTGGGAGATGTTAAGAGAATGTTACCTGCTAAGAAAACCTTTATATTAGTTTTAAGTTGTTAATTTAAATGTATAAGCTGGAACTTGAGGATAGTAACATTAGGATTTTAGGATAAATGAGGTTTTTCTGGTACCAGTGTATACACGAGAACACAAACACACCAAAGCTTATTTTGGAACATTGTGTTTTGTTGATACTGCTCTGCTGCCAATCCTTGAGTTTTCCAGGAATTAAGATGAGATCGCCTTATTAGTCCTGCAACACCGTGTAAAGTGAAATAAGGCATACACCAAATGACATACTGTATGATCTCATTCATACATGTCATACAAAAAGCTCTTCTTGTGGTAGAACAGTGCTCAGCACAGTCTGGGAGAGAGAGAAGAAAGGGAGGAAAGGAGGTCAGTCAGTGGGTACAAAGTTTGCAGTTAAACAGGAACAATAAGTTCTGCCTTTCATTACACAGTACAGTGACTGTAGTTAACAGTTAACTATTACAAAGTTATTTCAAAATACCTAGAAGAAAGCATTTCAGGAGGTCTCATCATAATGGAATGATGAGTGTTTGAGGTGACAGATATGCTAATTTCCCTACATCAGTTATTTTACAACATACACATCAGTGAAGTAACACATTGTATTACGTACACATGTACAACTATTATGTGACAGTTTGAAAACTGAGTTGCTACTGCCTTCTTTCAGTTACAGTGTTATAAAACAGATGTGTTTGTGGGGATGGAATCTTGTTTGGAGATGGATGCATTTTGTAGTTTGTAAACCCACAGTTTTAGCTAATATTCTGTATGTTAATAAATAGACAAATTTGAGTTGACATTGTAAGACTCCTAAGAATTGTTAAAAGGTCATAGTAAAATTGAGTCTGGTAACTGAAGAGAAGAATCTAGATGTTGGTGACTTTTCACCTAGTGAGAAAAACTTTTATGTATACATTAGACAATTTTCACTAAAAGCTCAAGATTTCTTGCCATTGATTTTGGAATGCCTGGCAATTGTGATAAAATCATGTTTCTTTCTGGTAAACTAATTACTAGTGTCCTGTTTTCTTTTGCCTTCTTGGATATGGCGGAATCTTCCAGATGTTCGTGCTGCAAGAGAGCAGATGAACATAGGAGGTCTTGCATACCCTCCACTCCCCCTACATGAAGCTCCTGCACGTCCGGCATCGGGGTATAGTCAGCCCCCATCTGTCTGCTCTTCCTCAACATCCTTCAATGGGCCATTCGCAGGTGGGGTTGTGTCACCTCAGCCACACAGCAGCTATTACAGCGGCCTGACAGGCCCTCAGCATCCCTTCTACAACAGGGTAAGGAGGGGTGCACCCTTTCTAAGGATTTGTTCCAAGGAAGTCTCAGAAGTTTTCTGTGTGTGAATTTTGTGTTTTTAAGCTATACTTTGACTTTAAAATAGAAAAATGTGAAGTTTAAATATAAAATGAGTGATTTAAAAACAAACAGTTTTGAATGTTAGCATGTCCCAGAGCTCCAAGGTATCAGAGTGTTAGAGATGATTTAGCTTATTTTCTTGATAAAAAAGTGAACTGCACAAGTTCAGTGGTGACTGGCTTATGCTCTACAGGCATTGATTTCTCTTTGTCAGTTGTTAGATAATGCACCTATAGTATGTCCTGTGTAATAATTTATATCATCATTTACTGAAGTGATAAATTCCTATAATAGGTCCTTATATATAGTATGGTTTGTATCTTTGACATATGAGAAAATAATCGGAAAATACTGCTTGGAGTACTCATTAGAGCCAATTATTACTGTTATAACCCATTGTTAAAGTTTAATATCAAGTTACATTCAGAATGATTCCTAAATCGAAGATAAAAGCACAATTATCAGTGGTATTCAGACTGTATCAGGCTTAGTTGACTGAAGGTATTTATTGCTACTTACCAACCTTAAACGCTAGTATTTCACATAGGAAAATGAGGCATGAAACATACTTTCTGGAACTCTACTTTGGAGCCCATAGCAATTTCTTATTTTTGTTGTCTCTATTAGTTACAAGTAAATTCTCTGGTGATGTGTCTCATGTAAGCAGTGGACTCTCCACCTGTAATACACTTGCTTGTTTAGGGTGTAGAGCACACTCTGGAGTGTCAGGATAGGTAAACTCTGAACTTGAGTGTACTCTGGGAACTGGAACCCATGCTAGTGTGTTTGTTCCCTGTGATCCAGACTTTTTGGGTCTTACTGGGGTTAATCTTTATTTGTACACAATAGTATTCTAATAAAATTTCACACTATTTTCTGAAGAGAGATTATGGGTTAATGTACATAAGTTACTTGGAACCTAACACAGGACAAGCCTGTAAACACATTAAAAGTAAAGAGAAACATTTGATCCAGAATGTAAGGTATAAAACATAGGTGCTTAAAAAAAAGTATATATTAAATGAGCAACATAAAAATGTAAATAATGTTTTAAGTTTGGGATTGATGTCTTGTAGACTATGAAGGAGCCTTCATTATTTTTTGTTTGTCACTTGTTTTAAAACTTGGAATTGCATTGATTGGTTGGTTTCATTTGATCAGTCTCATTACACTTTAATTTCTGTAATTGTTCATGCCCTTTTTTGTTACGTGTTTTTCCATAGCCATTCTTTGCCCCATCCCTTTACACGCCAAGGTATTACCCTGGCGGCTCCCAACATCTCATCTCACGCTCATCAGTAAAACCGAGTTTGCCCAGAGATCAGAACAATGGCCTAGTAAGTATATTAAAAGGGTAACTAAAATGTTAATCTCATAAAAAACAGACACTATTAGAAGTAAAATAATAAAACGTAGTCATAAAAAATTTTAAGAAACATACAATGTATACTGTTTGCATTTCTGGTAAATATCTGTAGAAAAAAATGACTAACAAGTTTCAGTGACAAAATGTTGTGTTTTCTGTCAGAAATTTCTGACTTATAATACAGTATTTGTTACCAAAACCTTAAAAAACAAAACTGTTCATCTGATCATTTCTAAGCTCTTTTTAAAATGGAATCCATACATTGTACTGTGATACATACATATATATGTATACGTGTTCATATATATATGTATATGTATATTTACACCATGGTATAATAAATAGAAGATGGAGCCAGGCATGGTGGTGCATGCCTATAATCCCAGCACTTGGGAGGCTGAAGCAGGATGATGGTGAGCTTGGGACCAACCTGAGTACATAGTGAGATTTTTTTTTTCTCAAAGGAAAAAGGGGTGGGGGGATGGGGATTTAGTGTGGGGGGGAAATTCAGTCTAGTGATGACACAAATTAAGCAGGGTAAGAGAAAAATCATTCAAATGTAGTTTTAACTAATTAAAAGCAAAATACACATGCCTAACATATTAGGGACTCCTGATGATAAAATTAAATTTAAAAAGAAAAAACCTCCCAGCTAATGTAATTTTAATTGAAATTTAAAATGCCATAAAGAGGAATGCTAATTGCCTAAATGTTTGGGTGTTTTACATATTATTAGTGTAGCATTGTGGTCATTCATCTTCATGTGATCTTCATACGTGACTCACTCCTGAACCCTGCACCCACACTCTTCTGTTTTATGTTGGTAGGAGGTTATCAAGGAGGACGCTGCTGAGGGGCTTTCTTCACCCACAGACTCCTCGAGGGTAATGAGCAGTCTTGTGGTGTGGAACGCTAGTATCTCATTGCTTCTTTAGTAGTAATGACGGTCATAATTGTGCTGACAGCAGTTCACTAACGCTGCACTTGTGTGATGGGAAGCGAGTGGAGAGTAACTGAATACTAATACTTGTAGCTCGTGGATGAAATATGAGGCTAATGTTAACTTCTCTCTTTATTTCTTCCTGCTTTTCCCCTTTTCAGTGACATCAGAGGGTCTTTTATTCTTCAGTAAAAAAGGGCAGATTCCAATAGCCACTGGGAACATTCAGTCAGTTTTTGTTCCTTAGTCCTGAGCTCTGTTTCACCTTTGACTGGTTTTGATAAACCCTGTAGTTGCACTTGGTGCTATACATGTTGAATAGTTCGAAAAATATCCCAAATCAAAAAGACATGAGCTAGATGGTGTAGACCATGCACATTTTCCGTAACTCATTCTTAATATAAAAGTAATTACAGTTAGTGAAGCTCTACTTTTTTTTTATTTAAACAACATTTCCAGACAAGCACTAGAGCTAGTTCAGCATGAAAAGAAAATGTATAAATCGTTTTGCTCTTAACACTTGAAAGTAAGCTTCTTTAAAAAACAAAACCCCCAAAATTCATAGAAGTCATTTGTATGATTATTCAAGACTTTATACTTAGTAACACATGGTCATAATGAGCCTTAAAAATCTTAATTTATTCTATCAGTGTGAAACCAAAGAACCTAGTTTGTTTTTTAACTTTTGTTTCTATGCAGATACAATATACCATGCAAATTTGATCTGAAACAATGCTGAAATGCAATATATTAGAGTTAATGGGTAAAATATTTCATCCTATTTTTTAAAATTTTATTTTATTGCAAAGGTGATATACACAAGGGTTGCAGTTATGTAAGTAAGGTAATGAGGATAGTTCTTATTGAACTTTGCATCCTATATTTATCCATAATTAAAAAAAAATTTAAAACAGTGTTTAGGTAGGCAATAGTTTAACTTTTAATTTCCTTTGAATTAATGTAGTGAGAGAAAAAACCCATTTTATTGTTTCAAGGAGGAGTTGATGATTCTTAAGTCATTAACATTTCAATTGAAATGTTTAAGAAACTTCAATTATCTACAAATGATAGACATAATCAGCCACAACAATTCTGTTCACGTGCTCAGGGAACCTTTAATCCATGGATCATTGCCACTGTATGCAGGAACAACTTTTAGTTTACTCAGAGAACCTTTTATACAGACAATCATGCATGCAGTGAAGTGCCCTGAGCTAAAATTCCTCAGCAAAGATTTGATGAAAACCAGATACTGTGAAAAATTTGATGCATTCATTAATGACACAGAAATGCTGGAAAAGTAGCTATTCCTTTGCTTTAAAATGTAGGCATCTAACTGTAATTAAAAAGTGGCTGAACAATGCTCAATAGGAAATGTACTCATTATCTTCCTCATATAACTGTAACTCCTCTGTACAGAATTTTTACAATTAAAAAACGTATAAAAAAAAGTGGCTGAGACCCAAGCTTGGGTGGTACATACATGTTATCTGAGCATTAAGGAGGATAAGAAGGAGAACTGTTGAGTTCAAAGCTAGCCTGGTCTATACAGAGAGGGATCACTATATCAAACAAACAAATAGTGTCTAGTTTGTCCCCTACCCCTTATCACAGGACTACAACACGGAGAAACAATGTAATTCCTGAGGCATGTTTAGAAACCCAATAAAGGTACTCTGACTATATTAATGCCCTTGTTTAGTAAAATAACCACATCATTTATTGCTTTTAAATACTAAAAATAGTTTTGATATAGTGAATAATATAGATGCTTGCCACGCTTCCTTTGCTTTTAAAAAATTAATAGTAATAGTAGCATTATAGACTAGTACTAAGAAGTAGAGATGTAGTTCAGAACCACATTGAAAACAGTGGTGGAAATGTGAAAACCCTACACGTGGGCATGTTGGGCATACTCAGGCTGCACAGGAGGGTACTTAACAAAAGTCACTTTCTGAGGCTTTCTAGTGTTGTCTGGGACAGCAGAGCTCGTGCTGTCCACCAACCAGCAGTCTCCAACATGCACTCTGGATGAGAAGGGCTGCTCACACAGGTCAAGAGCTGCACATTTTGAAATACAGTTTTATTGTTATTTAGCAATTGTACAGAGACATTACAAGTCAGGTAATAAGTACAATTCTAGGACAACGTCAGCCCTTCCTTCATTGTCCCCCAATTTCACCCTCTAATCAAGTTGCCTAGTTCATTTTTCACATAGTATATATTGAGTACCATGATTGCATTTGTTCACCCTTCTCAGAAATATTTTTTAAACAAATTGTCATGCTATTACAAACATGGAAGGGAGGCAGACCAGTTAACAAAACAGATCTTTATAAAAATAATTGGATTTTTGGGCTGGGAAGTTGGCTCAGTGGTAGAGCGCTTGCCTTGCATGCATGAGGCCCTGGGTTCGATTCCTCAGCACCACATAAGCAAAAAGAAAAAAGCTGGAAGTGGCGCTGTGGCTCAAGAGGTAGAGGGCTAGCCTTGAGCTGAAGAGCTGAGGGACAGCGCCCAGGCCCAGAATTCAGGCCCCACGACCGGACCCAAAAAAAAAAAAAAAAGAATATAATTTTAAGCTAACCAAGCACTTATTACTGAAATGAACTCTGTGAGTGTGTGTGTGTGTTAGAGAGAGAGAGAGACTAGAGTGCTGCCTGCATATATAATACTTGTGATTTGATGTTTTGTTTTATGCTCATGTCCTTCACTCTGTTTTATTCCTTCCTTAAAGCTATGTGACTCTGGGTTTAACAAACAGAGACAGGTACAGAAATTCTCAGTGAAATCTTCTTCACTTTACCTATTAGGCTGTTAGATGTAGGCCTTGGCTGCATAGCTCATGCTGTGCTCTTGATAAATCTGAGCTTGTTTCATTGCCTTGGGTTTTATTTTAATAGTTGCTTTTGGCCTTTGCATGGCACTATTTATCAATGTAAGCTTATTTATTGAATTTACTAAAGATGATAATGTTTTAATGTACTTACAGTATAAAGAAGTTACCTCAAGGTATTAGTGATAATAATTTTACTTTTACCTAGAGAAATTCTAATTTGTATGCATTTTAAAGCTTAACAATTTAAACAAGCTAACATTTGCTACTTTCAAATGTCTAAATTAGATAACATTTAAAAGTATTTATAAATCATTATGCTGAATTATAAGTTTTGGCTTCCCCATAAATCTGAAGGAAAATGCATGGTAGATGCTGAAATATTATCATGTAAACTATTCTGTGTATTCTCAAAATAATGCATGTAGTTTCTGTTAAGAATTTAGTTACTGGATTGTTGAATATATAGATACAGATTTTTTTTCTTACTGTTTCTTTATCACTTTTGAGCTCTTTTTCCTTGCTTTTATGAGATTTCCATCAGAAGATCCTTATTTTGGTTATACATAGATTCTTGGTCAAAGTCATTTCTTTTTTCTTTATTTTGAAGTTGGGATGTAGCTTAGTGACAAAGTACTGTCTAGCAAGTACAAAGTCCTGGGTTTAGGTCCCCAGTACCAAAAAAGGAATGGTCTCTTATTTTGATGGTAGTAGTATTTGAACTTAGGGCCTTGTACTCACTAGGAAGGCTTTCTGCCTTCTGTGATCCATACTCATGGCCTTTTTTCTTTCTTTCTTTTTGATGTTTTAGCAAGAATTTATTTTTTAGTGTATCAGTATAAAGTAGGGAGAAATAGAAAAAGAGGTATTTCCTACTCCCCATTCAGAAAGTCGGAGTTAAAGACTCAATTGGGGTTCTATTCATATAGCCCTTTTTAGCTACTTTTCATTAATTGCACTAATGTTAGCATCTGTTGATGGATCTGTACCTTTACTATTGTTGTGGTGTTTGCCAGATAGTATTTTCAACTTTTCTCTTCCACATTTATTAATTATAATTCCAAAAAGGGATACTGTCTTTTTTCTAATATTTATTTCCACAAATATTTAATTAAATCAATATGAACTTACGGATATTTATTTGATGGTCTATAACCCAGCATAAGCATTGTTTATTTTGTTAGTCAAACTATTCTTTTATAAAGTTTGAACCAAAAAAACGTAAGCAGAATATAAATGCTTCCAGAGCAAGGAAGTAGGTTGAACAATAAAACATTTAAAAAATATAAGATCATTTAAAGATAGATATTATTCAGTAATAACAGACATGAGGTACTGACATAGATACTGACATGGATGAATCTTGAAAACATGCCCAATAAAAGAATGGTCATGTATTGTATGATTCTATTTGTATGTAATGCTTATAGGGATATCTAGTCCCTAGAGACTAGCTTCCAGGGGCTAAGGGTAGGATTTGGAGGGATGGACAATTAGTCTATAAATACAGGGTTTCTTTGGGAGATTTTGAAAATTACTATATTATTATAGTGATGGATCACTACTATGCAAATAAACTTAAAAGTTACTGAATTGTAGCCAGGCGCTTGTGGCTCATGCCTTTAATCCTAGCTACTCAAGAGACTGAGATCTGAGGGTCATGGTTCAGAGCCAGCCTGGGCAGCAAAGTCTGTGAGTTTCTTATCTCCAATTAACCACCAGAAAACTGGAAGTGGTGCTGTGGCTCAAGTGGTACAGCGCTCGTCTTGAGCTGAAGAGCTGAGGGACAGCACCCAGGCCCAGAGTTCAAGCCCCACAACTGACCAAAAAAAGTTACTGAATCCTATAACTTAAATTTGAGAATTATTTATCATATGTAATCTCAGTAAAGTTGCTTAACAAGGAAAACAAATATGGTATTAAGAATTCATAGACAGATTTTTCATAATACATAGTGACTGACTATTGTCTATAATAATCTAGGCAAAGTAGAGCTGTATGTGGAGCTATTAAAATTAAATTATGACTCGCATTTTGCTGTTCATATATTAAAAGCAATTATTCAACCCTGGACATTTATACTTAGTTAAAAACAAATGTTTGTTTTGCTGGATACTGTCACGCCTGTAATCCTAAGTACTTAGGAGGCTGGGATCTGAGGATCACTCAAAGCCAGCTTGGGTAGGAAACAGTCTGTGAGATTCTTGTCTCCACTTAATCCCCAGAAAACTGGAAGTGGCACTGTGGCTCAAAGTGGTAGAGTGCTAGCCTTGAGCAAGAGAGCTCAGGGACAGTGCCCAGGCCTTAGAGTTCAAGCCCTGTGACTGACAAACACAAAAAACAAAAACAAAACAAATTATAATATATTCCATGCCACTAATTTCCAAACTTATATGTACCTATAAACTTGCTAAGACTCCCTAACTCATAGAGTTCTTACTCCAGCTGTGTGTTTAATATGATCTGATCCCCTAGCTATATTCATATGTAATATCTGTATGTGTTATAAATAGACTGGTTCTCTATATATTTACCAGTTAGTAGTAAGATTATTATGCTTTCACATTGCAAGTAAATTTAACAAGTGACTAAGAGGCATTTTCAACTATGTAATAGTTTACTCTTGTCCTGAAAGTGATTTTTAAAAAGGCAGCAAAAATATGTGCTCAATATACTCTTAAGGATATGCTAAATCTTATTTATAATAGACAATTAGGTTTAAGAGTAAGCAGATTGTTTGGAATATCTTTATCTTCTAGATCAGTTGCTCTAGATCAGTTACAGCTTCTATAGTCTCTTCTAAAATAGTTGGAGCAAAGTAACTAGGAAATTGATATTAAAGCTGAGAAATCAGGGTCTAGTTCAAATCTACACTATTTAGCAAGTGACTTGTAAGGCCTAACTTGGCCTCCTTTGACATTCATACACATCTGTAATGGAGGAGAATCATGCAATCATGCACAGTTGACCAGAGGCAGATCTTTTTTTAGAATGTCACCACATCAGAAAATGTATTTCTTGTAAATAAGTGCTAGCCTTATTTATTATTTTGTCTCTTGTTTTCTTCACCCCTTCCCCCCATCCCTGCATCCCTCCCTTCCCCCCCCCCCCCCCCCAGTCCTAAGGCTTGAATTCAGGGCCTGGCTGCTGTCCCTGAGCTGCTTTTTTTTTTTTTTTATCGGTCATGGTGCTTGAACTCTAGGCTTGGGCGCTGTCCCTCAGCTCTTCAGCTCAAGACGAGCATTCTACCACTTGAGCCACAGCACCACTTCAGGTTTTCTAGTGGTTTATTGGAGATAAGAGACTCATGAACTTTCCTGCCTGGGCTGGCTTTGAACCGATTACAGGCGTGAGCCATCAGCGCCTGGCCTGTCCCTGAGCTTCTTTTGATCAAGGCTAGTATTCTACCCACCACTTGAGCCATACTTCCACTTCTGACTTTTTTTTTTTTTGTAGTTTATTGGAGATTGTCTCACAGATTTTCCTGCCTGGGCTGGCTTTAAACTGCAATCCTCAGATCTCAGCCCCCTGAGTAGCTAGGATTACAGGTGTGAGGCACTGGCTCCTGCTTTGACTTTTCATTTTAAATAAGAACAAATGTTATATAAGTTTTACTTACTTTCACATGTGTTTAGATTCCATTATTGGAATCTGTTGTACAGGTTCTGAAGATTCCTTGGACACAAATACAGTTGAGCTATGAAAACTTCAACTGTGGAGACTACTGAGGTAGTTTGTAGAAACACTTAAAGGTACTCATTTAACATAGGCACTTTAAAATTATATCAAAGATTTTTGTCTTTTGTATTCCTATAATAAAGGTATCAGTAACTTTTTTCTCTTTTTCTGTTTTAACCTCTCTTCTTTCTCTTTTTTAAGGTAGCACCCTTATCTCTTGAAGTTGGCTGTAGACATTTGTGAACTTAGCCAATGCGTGGCTATCATTTAAGAAAAGTGATTTTGATGAGGCTATCTTTGCTATAGTAAAAACTATTGAGTGTAGTTAGATCTATTCCTTAATGCTGTTTCCTTACATGCCACAAACATTGGTTGTACTTTTTCAGTAGGATAACTTACTGAATTTTATGTTATTGCACATAGCTGGCATTAAATGCTATTCATCTTTGTATTTTCTTTGGTTTACCTAGGGATCAGGCCCTGCCACAGGAACAGTGCTGTCACTGAATGCAATGACTGTGGACACTGTGTGTGAGAAGTTGAGGCAAATAGAAGGGCTGGACCAGAGCATGCTGCCTCAGTATTGTGCAACGATCAAAAAGGTGATGCGTACATTGACATGCTTATTGTCTAGAGACAGGACTGAGGGGCAGAAGACAGGCCTCAGGACCACATACTCCGAGCTGCTCAAAGTGGCCAGGGTCTCTGCTGAAATGGGAAAGCTCCAAATGCAATATGGGATTCTTAATATTTTATATCCTGACATTGCACGTCTATGTCATCTTACAAATAGACCAAAAAATTATAAAGTAGCAGAATTACAGTGTTCTATTTTAAGAACGATCTAAGATAAGTGTCAAAAATGCCTTGATGAGAAATAGAAAGCTCTAGAAGATTTCACATTTAGCTAAATAACTCATCTTTCCAGTATGGAACAGAATATTTGATGGCCTTCTCTTATATGGTTTGTTTTCTTTAGTTGTACAGGTTGAGTTAATAAAAAAATCTGAAAGATGAAGCTTTTGAGAATGTGGATGAATATGAGCTTCAGATTTCAGAGCATTTCAGAATTCGGGCTTTTGGATTAGGGATACTCCACTGGTAAGGTCTGCAAATATTTCCAAATTGGAAAAACTCTGGAATATGAAACACTTGGTCCCAGATATTTTGGATAAGGATATATTTAATATATACTTGTGTGATTTAATCATTATCAGAGCAAGCCACACTTACTTCACTTCCCACAAATCCTCAGCTATGTGACACCTAAGATATATAGCCATATTACACTCAGTGAAGCCACCTAGTTTGGGGCTTTCAAGGCCGGTGTATCTGTGGAAATTGAGATCATATTCTCACAGTTCTGGTAGGTACCCTGATACCTGAGATTGCTGAGAAGACATTTCCTATGTGAGATTATCTGAGTTCAGTTAAGGGAATTTTCCCCCACTAAGTTATGTTTTTATATCACAGTGTTAAACAGAGCAATAGTAGTTGTTTTTAGTGACTAAATACTTTAAAGATTCGTGTCTGTGCAAAATGTCTTAAAGGATTAGGAGCGTTTTTACATACCATCTGACTAATTTTACTTATCCAGAAAGGTTTCAGATAATGTCTGTTTCTCCAGTCCTGGGTTTGTGCTGATCCCTGTCTACATGAGTCAGCACTGCCTTCCCATGGACAAAGGAGACCTCCAGGTTAATGTCAGAAAGCGAGACTCCAACTCAGGCCCCTTGAGGGGGTTTGGTTTCCTTCAGCATAGTAGTTTTCTTCCCGCTGCTCTTTACCCACTGACCCTGGATTTTTGAACCCAGAATAGCAATCCAGTTCTTTCATGCCGTAAATTCCTTGGCATTGTCAGTAAAAGGCTTCCACCACAAACTGATTCTGTGTACATTTTCTTTTGATTTAGGTTACCAACAGGATGTCCTGCCTATTGTAAACATAGAGACTCAAATTTTACAAGTTAATAGAGTCAGTCTTTATACATCATAAAATCAGTAAGCTATCTATTATTAATAAGGAAGATTCTTATTGAGGGAAACAAAAATTTCAGAGACCCAAAAGTGGTAAGACAGTTTGTGTGTGTGTGCATTTAACAGGTTGGGAAGTTAGTGGTGCTGGCCATTCTTTGTGGCTGAAGTTATCTATTAGAATTGGGTCATTGTCACTCTGCATTTAGAACCAACACAGTCACAAAGACAGGCATTACTGTCTTCTTCCAGTTCATGTTAATACTTTCTAAGATTAAAAAAGAAAAACAAGCCATTGTGTTGTACCCATGTTGGAGTAAGTGGTTTTAGAAATAGTTGGGAGTATTAGCATATGTGTTGGTCCCTGAAGAGTGATTTGTCTTGAGTGTTTTCCACTTGAAAACATACAAAGTGGCATATGTTGTTCAAATTCAGCTAGTTTTTCCTAGTTTTTAATGCCTTAAAACTACTTTTTAATCAGTAGTAATTCAGAATATTTTAGATTTTGTTTGTACTTTTTATGCAGGCAAACATAAATGGGCGTGTATTAGCTCAGTGCAACATTGATGAGCTGAAGAAAGAGATGAATATGAATTTTGGAGACTGGCACCTTTTCAGAAGCACAGTAAGATATTTATAATCTTGTGGCATTTATAGAAAGATTTTATTATAACATATAAAATTATTTATAACATTTTATAAAATCAGAACCAGTAAGTCCTGGCCTAAGCTGATACTTGTCCATATGAAAATCTTCTCTATTGAGACTGGACAAATAGGACTACCTTAAAATAAAAAGTTTCTGCACAGATAAAGAAATAGCAACCAAACTAGAAAGACAACCAACTAATTGGGAAAAAATATTTACCAGCAAAATATCAAGACAAGGGTCTAATATCTATTATATACTGGGAACTCAAGAAACTAACCCCTCACAAATCTAACAAACCAATCATGAAATGGGCAAGGGAACTAAAGAGAGACTTCTCAGAAGAAGAGATACAAATGGCAAGGAAACACATGAGGAAATGTTCATCATCCCTGGCTGTAAAGGAAATACAAACAAAAACAATACTGAGATACTACCTTACCCCAGTCAGAATGGCTCACATACTAAAGTCAGCCAATGACAAATGCTGGAGGGGATGCAGAGAAAGAGGAACCCTACTGCTGGTGGGAATGTATACTAGTACAACCACTTTGGAAAACAGTCTGGAGGTACCTCAGAAAGCTAAATATAGACTTCCCTTATGACCCAGCCACACTACTCCTAGGCGTCTACCATGAGCAACAGGAACCAGTAACAAAGACACAGTGCACATCCATGTTTATTGCAGCACTGTTCACAATAGCCAAGATTTGGAAACAACCCACTACTGATGAGTGGATCTAAAAATTGTGGTACTTGTATACAATGGAATATTATGTAGCCATTAGAAAGGACAAAATAATGGCATTTGCAGGGAAATGGATGGAACTAAAGCAGATTATTTTGAGCAAAGTAAGCAATAACAAAGAGACAAACAGCACAAGGTCTCCCTGATATGTGGATGCTAAAGCCAAAATACAAGAAGATATGGCAAAGTAACAGGACTCAAGAAACAAAGGACAGCCACCCATTTTGTCCTATCATTGCTAAATGACTCCATGTTCTAGACCATATATATGGTAGATATATGCACGCAACAGAGGGAAGCCAGGGGGAGGAATAGAATAAGTGGGAACAGCCTATGCTAAGCAAAAGGAAAGAAATGTAAACATCACCTGATGTGGAAAAAATAACTTGTATTGTCAAAGCTCATAGAATTCACAAACTGTATAGACCATGATAATGACAATTTGCCTTGTGAAAGTTAAAAATGTGTTTGTAGGGCTGGGAAGATGGCTCAGTGGTAGAGCATTTGCCTTGCATGCTCGAGGCCCTGGGTTCGATTCCTCAGCACCACATAAGCAAAAAGAAAAAAGCCGGAAGTGGCGCTGTGGCTCAAGTGGTAGAGCCTTGAGCTGAAGAGCTGAGGGACAGCGCCCAGGCCCAGAGTTCAGGCCCCACGACCGGACCCAAAAAAAAAAAAAAAATGTGTTTGTGACTCTATCACTATTCCACAGTACTGTAAAATATGTGAAATTTATGTAATCATCTAATCTCAAAGAAAAAAAGTGAGAGAAGGGATGGTGATGAGAGATGGGTGACAATGTTGTCAGACATTTTGTACTCATAGACTGTTTTGTAGAATGGGAACTTCTTTGTACAACTACTTAAAGATAATAATAATAATAAACAGGAATATGACCCCCCCAAAAAAAAGAAAATCTTCTCTACTAATTTTATACTTGTGTATACCAGGTGTCATGGAGGATGTACACAGCAGCACTAGGCAGTCTTTGTGCTGGGGCATTTCATTCAAGAATCTGAGGAAGTGACCACACATGGGTTTTCTGTATTGACAAAGATTCTGTCCTTGACCTAGCTCCAGCTAGGCCCCTGAGCTGTCTAGACCTCAGCCTTCAGTGGCTGTCTTTGACAGACACCATAGATGTCGTAGATTGGTGTGTACTGCTATGTAGTTTAGAAAGAACCCCTTCCCTCAACACAAACACCCTTGATATCTGATCAAGTACCTCCTGTGCACTGACTACTTCCTAGATTATGTCTGCCCACATGTTTTGTCTTCAAGAGTCCTGGCAAATACATTTAGTCAGACTCTCCTGTAGCTGATCTTCACCCTACTCCTAGGCTATAAATTCCCACTTGTCCTTGTTCATCCTGTTCTACATTGAGCTATTACAATAGTTCCTGCTTAAATTCACTTTACAGCTTATATTACTCTCCAGCTCTGGTTTCTTTGACACCCTCCAAGTGCATTTTCTTTTGTCCTCAAGTTCATTTTTAAACTAAAATAACAATATAGTAGTTCTATATATGATTATTTCTGACACTACTTTTTTCTTTGTATTATTAAAATTAAAGATAAAAAGATACAGTACAGCTGGGCATTGAGGGCTTGCGCCTGTAATCCTTAGCTATTCAGGAGGCTGAGATCTGAGGCTCATGGTTCAAAGCCAGCCCAGGCAGGAAAGTCTGTGAGATTCTTATCTCCAATAAGCCACCAGAAAACCGGAAGTGGCACTATGGCTCAAGTGGTAGAGCACTAGCCTTGAGCTGAAGAGCTGAGGGACAGCACCCAGGCCCAGAGTTCAAGCCCCACGACCGACCAAAAAAAAAAAGATATAATGCAAATTCATTAGAAATTCACTTAAGGGAGTATGCTTTCTTATTTCCATTATAATGTTATATTTTTAAAACCTCTAAAGTTTCTAAATGTGACTTTATAGAGATTTTTTTTTCTTTTGCTAAGGTTCTAGAAATGAGAAATGCAGAAAGCCAGGTGGTTCCTGAAGATGCACGTTTTCTTAATGAGAACACCAGCGCCACGGTTCCTCATGGTGAATCTGCTCGCCGGTCTTCACACAATGAATTGCCACACACCGAGCTCTCCAACCAAGCTCCCTACACACTAAACTTCAGTTTTGAAGAACTGAATACCCTTGGCCTAGATGAAGGTGCCCCACGCCACAGTAATCTAAGTTGGCAGGTATTTATTAAGCATCATTTTTTGTCTTACTGAATAGGGGCAATTCGCTGCTACGTTGTTAGTGCAGTAAAACAGTCATTCAGGAAACAATGAGTACTCACCTGGGTAAGAATGTGTTCATTCACCTGAGAGGGCAGTCAGGAAAATTGAGGAAAAGGTAAGGTTTATTAAATTGAGAACCCAGGACAGCAGCATGGAGTAAGCAGGAAGTGGGCAAGTTAGGGTATTGTAAGTGCTACCTTTCTCTCACTGTTTGCTAGAAAATGCAGTTATCATTGGCTAAAATACATAGCCAGTGTTATCCTTTCCAATCTTGCAGTTTGGTTTTCCAATACACACACACTCCACGTACTGCTCTGTCTCTGTCTCTATCTCTGTCTCTTGCCATCTCCCTCCCTCTTCCTTTCCTCTTTTCTTTCTGGGTGTTTGTGTCCCTTTTGTCATCTACTGTTGTGCAGGTAGTATCTCCCATAGGATGTTCTTAGAAGGAGGAGGAGAGGGGAGCAGCATGAACAGAAATGAAAGACGTGTGAGAAGACGTAAGGGGGAATAAAATGAAAGTAAGCACAGGGTGCACCACGGAGGGAGGGAAATTTACTAAAGTAAACTATAAGAACCTCTGCATTAAAGGAGGGCTGTACTCTGGAAGCAAAGTGTCTGCCTCATTTTTAAGGTATTTGGTTTGGCGGTAAAAACATTTTCATTCTTTTTCCATACTGTCCATTTTCTTTCTTTCTTTATACTCTGTCTACTTTATTTCTTTAAAGTGAGAATCCATTTTATTATTATCAAATAACTGATGATTTAAGATAAAATTACTTATTTTCACAATAAGTAAGCTTTGATCTCCATTTCAACAGCAGTGGTTATTCATTTCCATTAGATTCCTTTTGAATGTGCCAATCACTCCTCATCCTTGGCTACACTGTACCAAGTGCTTCCACCCCATCATGACAGAAAGCACAGTCTTTATGTAGTAGCAGTTCTCAAACTGCCCTTTAGTCTTAGCTGTCTTAAAAATTATTGAGAATCCCAAAGAACATTTGTTGATGTAAGATTTTTGTTTCATTTTTGTGTGTGTGTGCCTGTACTGGGGCTTAAACTCAGGGCTTAGGTGCTGTCTCTTAGCTTTTTTGCTTAAGGTTGCCAGTCTACCACTTGAGCCATAGCTCCACTTCGAGCTTTTTGGTGGTTAATTGGAGATAACAGTCTTACAGGCTTTCCTGCCTGGTCTGGCTTTGAAGCATAATCCTCAGATCTCAGACTTCTGAGTAGCTAGGATTCTAGGTGTGAGGCACCAATACCAAGTGCTTGTGTAAGTTTTATTATAACTAGTTACTGTATTAGAAATGGAAACTGAACATTTTTCTAGGTATTTATGTATTTAAAAATAAACAAATGACATATTAATAGAAATAACATTTTAGTAGGTGGCTCATGCCTGTAATTCCAGCTACTGAAACCTGAGGATTGAGGTTTGAAGTCAGTCCAGAGAGGAAACCTATCTTTAGTTAACCAACAAAATGCCAGAAGTGGAGCTGTGGTTCAAGTGGTAGGTAGAATGGCAGCTATGAACACAGGCCATAAATTCAAGCCCCAGTAACAGCACAAAAAAAAAAGGGAGAGAGGGCTGGGAAGGTGGCTTAGTGATAAGAGTACTTGCCTTGCATGCATGAGGCCCTGGGTTCGATTCCTCAGCACCACATACACAGAAAAAGCTGGAAGTGGCATGGTGGCTCAAGTAGTAGAGTGTTAGCGTTGAGCTGAAAAGCTGAGGTACAGCGCCCAGGCCCACAGTTCAGGCCCCATGACCGACAAAAAAAAAAAAGAGAGAGAAAAAATAATTTTTTATTAACAAAATTTAGTGAGGATGGCATGGTTTTGCACATTTCCTAGAAAATGACTGGGTCCTTACGTACCACTGCATTGAATCTGGTGTGATATCATTTGTGTGTGACTCTAGTAAGGCCACCGTGCACTCTTGTGTAGATAAGACCGGTTAGGCTGATAACATCATGAAATTCTCAGGAGTGAGTTCCAACCTTGTGAATCCCCTGCCACCGAGGTGTATATAAAACGCACTGCTTTTGAGAACAGCTGCATTGCTCATGTGGTGGGTAGCTCAGTCCTTCTAGTTTGACTGCATTCCAGGCGACCCTTTCAAGGGGAGGGCTCTTCTTTGCTTCTGTGTCCTAGTTTCAGCCTTTTTCTTATCCTTTCTTATACTTTCCTGGTGCTTTCTCCCCATTCCCTTTTTCCTAATCTGTACTGCTTATTCCTTACTAGCTCTTCAAAGATTTATGGCAACTTGAATCCTAAAACTTCATGTTGAAAATAAGACTTAATTTCTTATTTAATTTCACTCTTAACTAGGAACCAGCTACTGGCCTCATGGTTTTATTTCTGTTATCTGTCTTTTATTTATCTTTTCTATTTCACTCTAACCTTTTTAAATATGAGTGTATGTGTGTGTGTGTTCGGGGTATTTTGGCATTTTTAAGTATATTGTCTTGATCTGAATTGGAATCATATACAAGTTAGAACAGGTTCTTTTTTTAAATCATATTTTGAAGGACTTGAGTGCTTTATTTTAGAGATATGTCTTAATTCTTTCTCCCTTCCAGGTGCATTTCTTTTCTTAATGTATATTAATTGTACAAAAGCATTTTACTGTGTCAGTTCCATGTATTAAATGTACTTTGATCATATTCACCCCAAGGGGAATTTTTTTAATCAATGAAAGTAAATTTTGCCTTACATAAAATTTTAGTTTTGGGCTGGGAAGGTGGCTCAGTGGTAGAGTGCTTGCCTTGCATGCATGAGGCTCTAGGTTCAATTCCTCAGCACCACATAAGCAGAAAAAGCCAGAAGTTGTGCTGTGGCTCAAGTGGGAGAGTGCTAGCCTTGAGCTGAAGAGCTGAGGGACAGCACCCAGGACCAGAGTTCAGGCCCCATGACCGGAAAAAAAAAAAATTAAAGTTTTGAAGTTATTAAAAGCAAGTGCTTAGCCGGGCGCCGGTGGCTCATGCCTATAATCCTAGCTACTCAGGTGGCTGAGATATGAGGATCGCAGTTCAAAGCCAGCCTGGGCAGGAAAGTCTGTGAGAAAATTATCTCCAATTAACCACCAAAAAAAAAAAAAGCTGAAAGTGGAGGTGGCTTAAATGGTAGAGTACTAACTTTGAGCAAAAAAAAGCTCAAGGACAGCACCTAGCACAAACAAAAATAAGTGCTAAAATGATTTAATATAATTTGTAGTTTTACTTTTAAATTTTACCAAATTTTAAAATTTTTATAAAGCTTTATAATAACAATAGTTCTATTTAAAAGTTCACATTTTTTTTGTTAAACTGTGTAGGTAGAATTATTTTAAAAGATCTTGGTATTTTGATGATATTTTAAAATTGTTAGTGTACACATATACTTCCTAAGCTGGCATTTGTCTTTTTTGGTTGTTTTGGTTTTACTTATTTGAATTCTTAATTTTTTTTTTCTGTCTTCACAGTCACAAACTCGCAGAACCCCAAGTCTTTCGAGTCTCAATTCCCAGGATTCCAGTATTGAAATATCAAAGCTTACTGATAAGGTGCAGGCTGAATATAGAGATGCTTATAGAGAATATATTGCTCAGATGTCTCAGTTAGAAGGGGGCACTGGGTCGGCGACAATCAGTGGTAGATCTTCTCCCCATAGCACATATTACATGGGTCAGAGCTCATCAGGGGGCTCAATTCACTCTAATCTAGAGCAAGAGAAGGGGAAGGAGAGTGAGCCAAAACAAGATGATGGGAGGAAGTCGTTCTTAATGAAAAGGGGGGATGTGATAGATTATTCCTCATCTGGCGTTTCCACTAATGATGCCTCACCCCTGGACCCTATTACTGAAGAAGATGAAAAGTCTGACCAGTCAGGCAGTAAGCTGCTCCCAGGCAAGAAATCCTCAGAAAGGTCCAGTCTTTTCCAGACAGATCTGAAGCTTAAGGGAGGTGGATTGCGCTATCAAAAACTTCCAAGCGATGAAGATGAATCAGGTACGGAAGAGTCAGACAATACTCCACTGCTCAAAGATGATAAAGATAAAAAAGCTGAAGGCAAAGCTGAGAGAGTGTCCAAGTCTCCAGAACATACTGCTGAGCCTATTAGGACATTCATTAAAGCAAAAGAGTACTTGTCAGATGCTCTCCTTGACAAAAAGGATTCATCAGATTCAGGAGTGAGATCTAATGAAAGTTCTCCCAATCACTCTCTTCACAATGAAGCCACTGATGGTTCCCAGCTTGAAAAGGCAAATCTCATAGAGCTGGAAGATGACACCCACACTGGGAAGCGGGGAATGCCACACAGTCTGAGCGGCCTGCATGATCCAATCATAGCTCGCATGTCCATTTGCTCAGAAGACAAGAAGAGCCCTTCAGAATGTAGCCTGATAGCCAGCAGTCCTGAGGAGAGCTGGCCTGCGTGCCAGAAGACCTATAATCTGAACCGAACACCCAGTACTGTGACTCTGAACAACAACACTGCTCCAGCCACAAGACCCAATCAACATTTTGATGAGATGGAGGGAATTAGAGAGTCTTCTCAGGTCATGTTGATGCCTGGGCCCACTCCAACTACTATTCAGAATGAAAATCTAAAAAGCTTGACACATAAGCGAAGCCTACGTTCGAGTTACACAAGGCTCTCGAAAGATGCCTCTGAGCTCCATGCAGTAGCCCCTTCTGATAGTGCAGGCTTTGGAGAAGAAAGAGAAAGCATTCTTTAAGGAAAACAAGTAGAAGTGGTAGAATGTTAGGCCCTATCACAAAATTGTCCTGAATTTTGAATTCATCCACTGCCTTCAGACATTAGGAGTTTATAAACCTCACTACCATTATTATGCTTTTCATTGGCACATAACTCCATAAAATTGTTGAGACATCATCTAAGTATAAAGATAAATCAGAAAGGGCTGGTTTGTTAAGTATAAAGGGCTTAACTTGCAAAAGAAAAAACCTAAGGATCCCCTTTGTAGAACAATTATTGAACACACACCTGGGGGAGATGATGCAAATTCATTCATAAGGTATTTAGATAAGAATTTACAGGTTTTAGGCATGGAGTTGTGGTACCTGCTTAGCAAGGTGAGACCAAACCACATTTACCGCCCCCCCTCCCCCCCCCCCCCGCAAAAAAAAAAAAGAACAACAAAAGGAATTTTTATGTGTTTGGAGTAGCCAGAAGACTTAAGGGTGAATTAATTGTAAATTGACAACCAATATTCTATATAATATACAAATTGATGACTAAAAAGATTTTAAGTAGAAAATATTTACTGAAGAGGGCTTTAAAAAAGTCAGCAACACCCAGAGTAATTTAGCCGTTTAGCTGGGCTGGCCGTACCATTAGTATGATTCATTCGGTAACTCTTAAGTTGTGCGCCCAGCTTTTCTAAGGGAGCTTAGCAAGAGTCGGGGATGGGATTTTTTCTTTCTTTCTTTTTTTTTTGGTGGTACTCTGAAGGATGTTTAGGACCATCTAAATGCTAGACTGAGCTGTATCCCCAGACCCAAGCATGAACTCTTCCTCTGCAGAATCAAGGAGATATGGGCAATAATTTGTGGAATGATGTATGAAGAAACTTTTACATAAGAACATTAGTGACAAAGACAAGGAAATGTTTAATTGGGTAGAACTAAATCATTGTCTTCTATATCAGGGCAGAGTGTGCCAGCTGCATTTGTCCCCTAAATCAGCATGTTAATTGTGAGGAAGGATTATTAAAAGAGGAAGTACATTTTTTGAACATTGAAAAGCATGAAACAGTGTGAGTAAAAACAAGATATAACTGGTGTGACCGTGAAACCCTATTCTTTGCAATTATTGTTCACAGACATTAAGAGAATGATCGCATTTCGGTATTATGTAGGCTAGAGAGGTCCCTGCCATCATGCATGAAAATTGTTCGTCACTTTCACATAGCTTATTATGTAGAATTAGTTCTAGCAGTATATCTTATCACAGGTGGGGCTGCAGGTGGTGAGGTCACAGCTGTGTGATTACCTAGACAGAACCATGTGTGTGTGTGTGTGTGTGTGTGTGTGTGTGTGTGTGTGTGTGCGCTGCTCACCCACTTGACCAGGCCTTGTGCTGAGAGTTGTTCTTCTGTGTTTCACTGCCTTGACGTTTGAGTACAATGGAGCATTTTATAGTTTACTTTGCATGACCTTTCACAAATGTTTTAGCATTAACAAAGGCAAGGTGTTACTGACATTTATAAATTGTAGTGTTAACATTTTAATATTTATGATATTTATTAGTTTGCAATGTGCTGTAATATTTCAGAGTCAGTGTTTTCCTTTTCAGGTGAGTAGTTGCAGCTTCTTCCTCATTGGAGGATACATTCTCATGCTGTTTGTGAAATTAATACTGGAGTACTAAATGTACAAGTAGATTTAGAAAACAATAAAAAGTTGCATGTCATTCTGACTCATGGAGTTTTATTCCCTATGGTAAATGAATCATTTTGATTAAAAATAAAGAAGTAATGTGTGTGTTTGTTTTTGTCATGTATCAGCAGTTGGTAAAGAGTTGGCAGGAGTGTTCCAGCCACCCCCACAAGTGCTTCTGAGAGAACGGGGCTCTAAAGCCTCCATGCCGTCCAGTGCTTTCTCTTAGCATCTCTGACAAAGAGTTCAATGGTGCCACAGCATCTTGCTGTGCATTTCTGTAGCTGAGCAGGCCAGATGATCCAGGTCCTGGAGAACAGCAATTTATTACAGAACATTCTGGACGTTTGCTTTTTCTGACTGATACAGAAATGACAGTACAGATGGGTTATTGAGTCACCATAATTTCTTTGAGTCTGTATGCCAGTTTATGTGTATCTATTCTATTTATAACACACTGCCCAGACTGATACACACATGCACACTGCTTTAAGCAGGATAAAGATGGATAGAAACCTGGGGCTTGAATCTTGCTATAGAGTCTTATATTTTATGGACCAATCTGCCCCCACTGTAAACCACAAGGGAGATGTGTTAATGTGTGTCATATAAAGGCAGGTCTGCTCCTCTTGACAGCGTGCTGCCTGTGCACATATCTTTGGACAAGCCCAGAAATGACAAAGCTGTTGGTATTTTTCACTCGAGACAACTTGCATGGTGCCGAATGCTTAAGGATCAGCCCTCCTATGCTGGGAAATTTAAGTATACGGAAACTGAAACATTTCACTATTGAAGGAAAATTTGTCTTCACATGATGTATTAGAGCTTTATTTATATAGTGCTTAGAATTTAATTGCCTAAGTAAGTTGAGCTAAAATTCTCTTGAGAGTTCTGGATCATTTGCATGCTGTAGTACTACAGTGAAATATATGGGACTAATTTTTTTCTTACAAATACTAATCAGAATTTTTTTGGAATGAAATTAAATCTTTTTTTTTCCTTCTGGCTAAAGAACTAAATTTAAAAGGGTTTAAGACCACATAATTTTGGGTTACACCAGGAATTCTCAGCCTCTTTAGAAGTATCCCATAGTTTAAAAATCCCTGAGTTCCTGGCTAAATCTTGAGCATATCACGGTAGTGGCCAGGAAAAGAGAGAATGAGGAGCTCTGGTTCCCTTTGTCTTATGGTGGATGACTTAAGGGGGAAGAGGTAGAAAAGAAGGTGTGGTGAATTTTTTGGTCAGCATTTGAGACTGGAGCCCAGTCTCTTATCCCCCACCTCACAGGTCCTGCTGACCCTTGAAGGAGGGTAGAAGCCAGTGGGGTACATTTTTGCTTGGGGTGGGGATAAGGCCTCAGTGCCCATCTGAAACAGTTTAGGTAATTCTCCAGGTCATACTACCCCCTGTCATTCCCCACTCAAGCTTAAACCTTGGCCATGATTATACAAATGAGCTGAAAAGTTGAAGTTCACAGTGAGCCAGCACTGAATGCTTTTTAAATGGCTCGTCACTCTACCAAGGTTGAGAATCCCTGGCTGAGACTGATTAAATAGAAAGAGACTTTAAGATCTTACGTAATTTTAAACCCTTTCGTGCCTAGGAAGAAAATGCCGTCCTTGAGATAGATAGATCTCCAGAAGATGCAGTCTAAGGTATGTAAAAAATTAGTTTTCAAAGTGTACTAGTATTAAGCCAGCTGTGGAAAGAGTTTTTCCTACTTATGGAATTAATATTCTTACCACTTAGTTTTATCAAATACGAGTTAAGTATCTAGAACAACTGCTAGGAAGTAGCCTTGGTCACCTACATGATGGAAGTTTTTCATAAAATGAGTAACACATCGCGGCCTGGGCTCTATCATCCTGACAGCTTTGACCCTGGCCTTTGTGGAGATTGAAAGACATTTCTAGAGCTTGGGGTGGAATCTTTTTTTCTTCTTCTTTTTGTGCCAGTCCTGTGGCTTGAACTCGGGGTCAGGGCATTGTCCCCTGAGCTTTTCTGTTCAAGGCTAGCATTCTATCACTTGGGCCACAGCTCTACTTCCAGCTTTTATCATTATTAGTATTATTATTTGGTGATTAATGGAAATGATTTGGTGATTAATTGAAGCCCAAGTGAGCTTTAAACTGCATCCTCAGATCTCAGCTTCCTGAGTAGGTGGGGTCACAGGTGTGAGCTACTGACACCTGGCTTTGAGTCCTTTTTGAGCAGGGCCTCTATGGACATGGAGTGAGCACTAAATATTCTGGTTGCCCAGTGCAGTGAGGTTTTTTTGGAAAATAAAGCATCTGTAAGAATGAAGAGGCCCGCCAGGAGGGAAGAACAATTACAAATGTTCTGTGACTTAGGGATCTCACCTTGATAAGTGTAGACAAAGTGTAGATGGTGCAAGTAGAGATTTCATGGGAGGCTCCAGTGCTCCGATACTGGCGTCGTTTTGTGATCTTGGGTCTGGCTGGGAACTGCAGCTGCTGTCACCATCCAGCCTCAGGAGAGAGTTAGACCACCATCATCAGCCCAGGAAGGGAGCAATGTTCAAAAGTCACAGCAGCTCCCAAGTGTGCATGGCTTTCCCCATCATGCAGCTGGGGTGCCAATAGCAATGGCCCATCTATAGTGTGCCAAAACTGTTAGGGAGATGGTTTTTTGTTTTAGGAGGCAGTACTGGAGGTTGAGCTCTGCACCTCATGCTTCCAAGCTGATGTTCTACTATTTGAGCTGCTTCTCTAGCCCTTTTTGCTTTAATTATTTTTTCAGGTAGGGTCTTCCTTTTTTTGCCCAGACTGGCCTAGACTTTGATCCTCTGACATGCATCATTCCTGCATACACATGTGCCATACCTATCTTGTTGGGTGAGATAGGCTTTTCCTAACATTTTGCCCTGGCAGAGGTAAAAAGGATACCCCTTCACCTCTTGTCTCTGCCTCCTGAGTAGCTGGGGTCACAGGAATGAGCCATCATGGCCTTGGGAAGTATCATCAAAAGTCATAAAAAAATCTAATTGAAGTGAGGACCAATCTAAATTAGCAACAATAATTAATTACATAAAGACAAGGGTGCTGTTCCAGACCACACAAAATATTCTCTCTCTGCTGGGGCCAGGTCACTGGCTTAGAGAGAAGCACGCAGTCCTTGCCCCTCCCCTGCCAAACACTGGGGGCGCTGCTCAGCCAGACGTGTGTGTTAGAGGCTGTATCTTGCTTTGTTAGGAATCTAGCAAACATGAATAGCCTATTAAAATGAATCGTTCAAACATGAAAACAGTTTACAGATGACCCTTACATTTAAGAAACGGTTAGAAATAATTGTTTCATTCACTATCATTTTCTAATATTAACATTTTATACTTATTTACCTCATTTTTCTTCAAGGCAACAAGGGCTCTAGACCTTAGTCCCCTGTCCATAGACCCGGCAGTGCTTCCTTCTCATTTCTCCTGACAATTGCTTAGCTTCTCATGGTTGGCTTCCTCACCAAATATAAGGGAGTAAAGAAGAAACAGCGGCGTGCAGTCAGCTGGGAAAAAGGATGTGCTCACCTCACCAGTGTAATGTGTTTTTAGTAGCTGTAGAACTTAAATTAGTTAGAATGAAGTGTTCTTTTAATGAAATTTTAGATAAGAGTCCAAATGTATAGCAAAAAGCATGTAACTTATCTCTACATGACCTGGCATTTCAAGTCTTACAGCATGGTCTTAGGTATCTAATAAAAAGATTGTTATTTTCAGAATTATCATAGTTCCTGACACTTGTAACTACCTTTTAATTTGTGTTTCTGAGAGTTTGTAGGCTGCATATTGTTTTTCAATGCAAATTAAACCACTTTTATTTTGAAAGACATTTTTTTGGTTGTGTGTGTGTGTGTGTGTGTGTGTTTCAACCACTATGTTTTGTCTTGAGTTCCTTTCAGTCTTTTTTGTACCCTGAGTTTGTTGTTGTTGTTTGTTTTTGTGTGTTGTCACCACCCTTTTTACTATAAATACCCCCCCCTCCCCAGGGCAGCAGAGTAAAAAAAATTCAGTGCAGCTCTTTAGGCCAAGCTCTAGATTTCAGAGAGCCTATGGACAGTCACAGAATACTTAAAAGGAGGGAATAAAACAGATACAAAATAAACTAGAATAACCACCTAGGAAACTGTCCAGAAATCCTGTGGCATCTTATAGTATCAAGTGTACATACCTTACTACTGGGTCTGAGCAGTTCCTTACTGGCTTATCCTATCTGTCACCTGTCTGGCCCTGATAAGCTAGTCTGTTTCTACTTCTAGTAATCTTTCCGGAAAGAGTCCTATGCTTTATTCAATAAACGGCCCGGGTGGGCATCCATAGCCCATTTTGATCAGCTCTAGGTGATGTTTACTTCTCGCCTACTTGTGTGACATAAACCCATTGTTTAGTCTTTAACAGGCACCCATCGGATAAATTAATGTTAATTATAGAATCAAAGTGGTTCACTCCTGCACTTTACATTAGAATATGCTGAACATGTTTTCTCTGGGATCAAAAATTGAGGTATGTAGTTAGAGTGAAAAATAGCATTTTAGACAATCACAGTCTGGGATGAAGTTTTCTTTTATTGAGCCCAGACCTTCAGCGTTGCTTTAAGCAAGGGTAGTTTCTTTCTTTTTTGGGGGGGGGGGAGGTCCGGTCTTGGGGCCTGAACTCTGGGCCTGGGCGCTGTCCCTCAGCTCTTCAGCTCAAGGCTAGCGCTTTACCACTTGAGCCACAGCACCACTTCCCGCTTCTTCCTTTTTGCTTATGTGGTGCTGAGGAATCGAACCCAGGGCCTCAGGCATGCAAGGCAAGCGCTCTACCACTGAGCCACCTTCCCAGCCCCAGCAAGGGTAGTTTCAAAGATCTTCCTTACCCATCTTTGTCATTCCATATCTCAGCCACTGGTTAAGTGTCACCTAGGAAAACCATGGTTGGCTGAGACTCCTGGATAGGCCGTTCTGTATTGTTTGGGATTTTCCTCATCATATTGAGGATAAGGACCTATTGCAACAATCCCCCAATCTTATAACAGTACATCTGACGTC